GGTATAAAGTTTGAATCTTGATGATGCATTTGTTAGATCTAACTAGTTTTGGATGTTATGAGCTTTTTGTCATTTTAGTTCATAAAGTTTAGATCTTGAAATTTTGTGACCTTGTTATGGATAAGGTTGGAAACTTTATCCATGTAAACATCATTTTGATTCAGATCTGAAAGTTTGAGACCTGTACTTAATGGATTAAGTTGAAAAAGATGAACTTTTGGGTCCCTTTGAGACTTAAAGACTAGATCTTGTTTGTTGGGACCATTCTAATGGATAAAGTTGGAAACTTTATCAATTATAAAGCTATTATGAACTATAAAAATGTGATCTTGGCCCTTATATCCCTTCCATGCAAGAGTTGTGATGTCTTATTGGGTTAATAACTTAGGGTTTTGGACATTAAGCACTTTATAGCCATGCAAAGTCATAAAGTTGGAAACTTTATGACTTATAACATCATTTTGGGCGTGGATCTGAGTTTTGGATGTAAGAACTTAATGAAATAAGCTCTTAATGGAGTTTTGGGACTGGGCTGAGTACGTTGGGTGTACCTGGTGGTACGTTGCGCGTACGTGGTCAGCGCCCCGCTTTTGGTCAACATCAGATTACATTGGCCATACTCTCTTGGTACGCAGGGCGTACTCTGCCGGGAATAAATATTGACTTTTGGACCTTGACTTTGACCAGGGTTGACCAAGTTTGAGTTAAGGGTATTTTGGGTTATCGGGTTAATTATTGATTAAGATTGTATTTATTGTTAGTTGGCGTGTTCGGGGTCCGATGACTGACAGATCTGTAAATCGAGCGGGGCTCGATGCCGGGCGGGACCCATTATGTGTTTATTATGTATGGTATGTGGTATTTTGGGAACTCACTAAGCTCTGTGTTTACGGTTTTCAGTTTATGTTTCAGGCACTTCTGGTTTCAAAGGGAAGAGCCCGGGTGTAACACCTAGTTTTGAAAGTACTTGGTTGTGGTCTCGGAGGCCAAAGGGCAGGGGCGATTCGGTCTTTTTATGGGACTCGGGTTTCTTCGTAAGGTTTTAGGCTTAGGACGTGACTAAGAGCGTATGGTTTCCCTCCACCTTTTCGTGGATATAAAGTTCGTCGGAAACGGACTTACAACGAAGAAGTTATAGTACTTTGAAGTTGTTGGCAAAATCGGTCCCTGAATGGAAAAGCTTGCATTTCAGCCCATGCATGCAAGGTGGCAACTAGGTGAGTACGCCCAACGTAAGCTGGGGTACGCTCGGCGTAGTGTTGGATAAGTGAAACGTGGAAGGTTCGGCAGTACGCCCAGCGTACGCTCAGTGTCCTTAAACCCTAATTTTTAGGGTATGTCACTATATAAAAAACATTATACCCTAGATATCAGCCTCCCTCTCATCCTTAGACAGCCACCACGAAACCCTAAACCTCCCTAGAGTGTTCTTGGAGCTTAGAAAGCCATTAGAGAGCATTTTGGTGTTTAGGATCCATTTTTCAAGGAAGTGAAGAGCAAAGCAAGGTGGTGGATTAAAGGAGAAGATATAGATCTGGGGTTATTGCTTCATTTTAGACTTTATCGAGGTATAAAGTCTTGAACTTGTCTCTTGAATGCTTAGATCTATTATGATGGAGTTTTAGATCTTTTTGGTCCCAATGATGAAGCTTTTATGGTCCAAATCTGATTCCTAGACTAAGGGTTGCGACCCTTGGTGCTAAATGACTCCTTAAGACAGAAAGTTGTCATCTTGGTGGTCTTAATGGGCTCATGCAAGAGTTAAGACCATTTTCATGGAAATAGAATACCATTTTTGGAGTTTGGGCTTGTTTGGGACCTGTAAAGTCACAAAGTCAGTGACTTTATGGATTAAGACGTTGAAGAGGACATGGATCTATGTTTATAGCCGGTGGAATAGAGTATTAAGCACTTAATGGTAAAAGTGACTTAACAGTGGAGTATGATGGGCGTAAATGCATGTACGCGCAACGTACACACCATTCAGCCAGTACGCTTAGCGTACAGAGGAGTACGCCCCGCGTACTCAACAGATATGGGCTTGGCATGTCTTGGGCCTCGGGTTGGGCCATGCTTTGGACTTTGGGTCTTTGGGTCATAGTGGGCCATCAGAAGTCAGATAATTTGGGCCAAGAATATGTTTGAGCTTAGGGTAAGGCCCGTTAGAGGGATTGGGCCCAATTTAGCAAATTGGGCCATTAGTGGGCTTTTAGTGGGCCATTGGTGGACTTAGAAAGATTAGATGGAATTGGGCCTTGGATATGGTCCAGATTAGAGCAGGGATAAAATGGTCATTTTACCCTAAGAAGGATTATTGGTTTGGAACTAAGTGTTATTTGGTATTGATAGCTCGGGGAGCCAAAGGATTAGCAGTTCGGGAATTGCCAGTTAGCAGCCAGAGGATTATCTGCAAGTCTTCAAAAGTGCAAGGTGAGTCTCCTCACTGTGTGTATGGGTCTACGGCCACAATGCCGACCCATTTAGTTTATGTATGGTAGGAAGATCGGGGGGTTAGCTCTAGGCACTATGTATAAAAGACCAGGGGGTAGCTCCTGGCACACAGTATGTTATTATGTATGATACGAATACCCGGGGGTTAGCCCTATGCACTATGTATAAAAGACCAGGGGGTGGCTCCTGGCACACAGTATGCTATTATGTATGACAGGAAGACTTGGGGATTAGCCCTAGGCAATATGCATGAAAGACCAGGAAGTGGCTCCAGACACGCTATATGTTCGTTAGCTAAGTAGAGTAGTATGTATGCTAGTTGTCTTTGTGATACTTGCATGGAAGACCAGGAGGCGGCTCTTGGCACTTGTCTGTAAGACCCAGGGGGTGGCCCCCGACTTGGCAAAAAAGACCACGTGGCGGCCCGTGGCATAACAGCAAGACTATGTGTGACACATAACACCTTATTTGATATATGATTGATATGTATGGCTCACAGTATGTATGTCATCTATAACCCAGTTGATATGTATGGTATGTGGTATTTGGGGAACTCACTAAGCTTCGTTCTTACGGTTTACAGTTTTGGTTTCAGGTACCTTCAGTTTTCAGAAAAGGAGCTCGGGACGATCGCATCGCATTCACCCATATTATTCCGCATTATGTGATCTTTGGTATTAGACTCTGATATTTATTTTAAATGAAACGTTTTCAATGTTCGGAACAAAGTTGTTAAGTGTTTTTATATGATATAAAAACGAAATTTTTGGTCTTGAATTTTGGGATGTTACACCGGGATGATTGTAGAGCACACATCATTCGTTTCCGCATTTTGTGATTTACTCTGATGATGATGATGTATTGATAAAATTCGATTACCTTGGTTTTGTGACAATGATATGGTTTACTGTTTTATTAATTTAAAAATGAAAATTTTCGGGTCTTATTTTTGGGACGTTTCAAGGTCAATGCCTCGACCACATGTAATGATAAACGACAAACGGTTATAATAATATATTTTTTTCTTAGATAGAGAAAATAAATAAAATTACAATATGATAATATAATAAGATTAAACAAAATGAAATAATTACAATAATATTACCTTAAAATAATAAAACATAATACAATAAAAATATAAAGATAATTAATTCTAGAAAAACTTTTGATTTTGATCGAAACAAGCCGTTGTCTTTTGTTTGAAAAAAAAAACACCATAACCAGTTGATCGGGTAGAAAGACTATTTTATAAAAGTTTACCCATAAATAAAACAAGGATCGACTTTTATATAAGGGATTTTGGCACTGTAGCACAACGAAGTTTGATCAATTTACACATTTAGTTACTCAAGTTTTTTTTTTGTGCGCAATAGATCCTTAAAGTTGAATTCTACCTGTTAAATAGGGGTTTGACCCCCAAACTAACAGGTTTCCAGGTTAATAGCATCCTACGTGGCAAATTAGTTCACCCCAATAATAAATAAATAAAAAGGCCCATCCAAATTCCCCCACCAAGTAGATCAGTCTCATCGAAAGATAACTTTTATCCAATCGTTTCCTGCCATTAAACCTCCCTCGCTCTTAGGCTTTCGTTGGTAGTGCTAGAATTGTGTATATATAAATATGTTCATGGTTGGATTCTTGATGACGTGTGTACGACATGAGTATCTCACAAAAAATTTGAGAGGAGAGAGAATCTGATACACACGGATGACATATAGAGAAAGCTAGTGGCGAGCATTCATGAATCCCTCTCTGCAACTATGAGTATGTAGGCATCTCTCTTATGCAATAGATAAATAGATATATACATAAAAGGTCGGAGAAGACAGGGGGAGAGAGAGAGTGAGTGAGTGAGTGAGAGAGAGAGACACACACACAATGGTGGTGAAAGCAACAAGTTAAGGTGGTGGTGTTTGTATTGCTTCGTAAATCAAGCCATGGCAGAGGTAACACAAAACCCTAACATGTGGGTTGCAAGTCAACGTAAATTCCAAAAGAGAGAGAAAGCAGGAGTTGTTGAAGGTGATATGTGTCTCTTTTGAATCCCAAAGGAAATGACGTCCCTGATAATCTTTGTTCAATCCTACAATATAAGGCGTGTTGTTATGAATTGACCTTATAAACAATAAACTAACATTTGAGAAATGTTAGTGAGGGAGTACAATGCCACTTGAAGGAGAAGGAAGTGTACGTTGCTTTCATAATTTTTAATGTGTTTTAAAATTAAAATGCCACATCAGTAAATTTACCGGTTCTTCCGGTATCAGGGAACAAAATGGTGTAACTGACATATAAATTGTAACTTTAGTGACTAATTGCGCACAAAAGAAACTTGAGTTACTAAATGTATAATTAACTAAACTTTGTTGTGCTAGTTACCAAAAACGTGATTTGATATAATACAATTAAGTTTAGATCATAGATATTTAAAAGCTATTAGTGGGCCGGTTTGGGTTTGAATGTTTTAGGCTCTCAAATCTCAGTCCAGTCCATGATTGGGAAATTGCCCTAAGGGCTGAAATCAAACAGGTATATATTATACCTTCATACTGCGCCTCTTTGACGCAATCGTTTAGGTTTTTGGTGCGCAGGTCTTTTCTTTGATAGCCAAAACGTCTTGATCGATATATAAATCTCGAAACAAGATGGTACGATCTTTGTTTGATGCTTAAATCATTTTATTTGGTAGTTGGATGCAAAATGTATAGTCTGGTTATTTGTATTCACGTGTTAGTGTTAGTGGAATGATATGATAGATCGGATGTGTTGAAAATTTACAGGTTTTGCCAAACGATGTTGATCTGCTTAATCCCCCAGCAGAGTTGGAGAAGAGGAAGCATAAGCTGAAACGACTTGTTCAATCGCCAAACTCTTTCTTCATGGTATACTTAGTTTAGCTTTAACAATTTTGATTGTTTTAGTTTTTCCTATACCCTAAATCTTATGGAAGTTTGGTATAATTTGGTTTAATTAATGGGCTTTTGCAGGATGTCAAGTGCCAGGGTTGTTTCAACATGTGAGTTTTTTGATGTGAATTTGTTCAGTTTTAGTTTATGATGTTAATATGAAATGATGATGATGATGTTGGTGTGTTTAAACAAACAGAACAACTGTATTTAGCCACTCTCAAACGGTGGTGGTATGTGGGAACTGTCAGACGGTGTTATGCCAGCCGACTGGTGGACGTGCAAGGCTCACTGAAGGATGCTCTTTTAGAAAAAAGGGAGACTGACTCATCATTTTGCTTGCTTTTATGATAATCAGAAGCTGCTTCGGTGCTATTGCTTTGCTTACAAGGTTATAAGATGAGTTGTATCGTAATGGTTTTGAATTTTGGATTTTGGATGCTACTTTATCTTTTTTGAATACATGATTTGTTGTTTGATTGCTTCCCACACCAAGTTTTTGTTTCTCAAAGGCATTTGAATCTATCTTTACAACATATTTAGCAATCAGTTCATCTGTATTAACATAGCCTGTGTCGTGTGTCTTCTATAACCCTAATATAATAGAATATATATGCTTTCATTCACTTAAAAGAAAGCTGGCTGTGTGATAAATTGATAGTGAATTAGTGATTGAGCATTGGTTTGTTAGGTTGTCAACTAATATGAAGTCTACAACTTCACTTTTCTGTTCAATCTATGGAAAACCTTTTTGTTGAAAAATTCAAATATATGAGTTCAGTTGTTGAAAAATTCAAATACATCGAGCTCAGTTATTATGATCCGGATCAACAGATAGCATTTCTTATAGTTTTCTGGTAATTCTATTAGAATCTCACCTTAAAGCCCCACCCATCATGGGAATATTTAATTTAATTTGCTCTAAAATTACAATACAAAAGTATGTCTTGCTGCGGCTACGGCTACTTGACGGGGATCAATCAGGAGTGACTTGGGATTTGTTCTCCAAATTAAGTCGAGAATGGATGACAGACAATATGGATTGTTTTGTTAAAATTCATTTTATGATATGAAACATAAATTGATTTAAGCCTCATTTTTTTTTTTTTCGGAGACCCTAGGAAAATTTGTTGTTTGTTAATAAAAAAGTCATCTTTTTTAAATAAAAGATGTTTTTGACTCAATTAACGTACCAAGTTTTTAAAAAATTATTTCATTGATTGTAGCTTAACAAGAAACGATTTCAACTTATGATTCAAACAGATTTGAAGAAAATGAGTGTGGATGAAATATGTAGTTGGATCCAAGGATGCTTTATGATTAAAGAGACAATTGATTATGAACTTTATCGTAGGGTTTGCTTTTGTCTATGTGCAGATTTTTTGTTGTTTATTTTTCTTTTCCCCGGCTTAAAAATTATCTTACACAAAACTATGTTGATAGGTGTTAGTGTAAATTTTAACGAGGCGGAACATTTAGGGGGTATTATTAGTTGCTCGTCCTTATGGAAAGAAGTGGCTGATAAATTCACGGATACACTTTCCAACTGGAAAGTAAAGTTTCACTTGGTAGGTCTATAAGTTGTTTCGCCGAAGAGATCGTGTATTTTACTTTACGTTTGCTTCTAAATCTTATCTCTATTTATCACTTTAATTACTTAAAACCACACGTTGCAATAAATCACGACAAATCGGTCCATTGTTCTAACTCGACCCACCACTCAGTTCAAAACATAAACAAGAATACTATGTTCCTAACGAAAGATAAGCATGAACAAAGCTAACTTGTTTGGTAAAGATGAAAACTCTATGAAAATGAGTTTTGAAAGGAATCTCTCCCAACCAATGTTTTCCCAAAACCACATTTTTTCGTCACCCATTTTTCAAATAAAAAGAATCAAAGTTAATACCATTGTCATTTAATCCTTTGGTGGATCGCAAGATATCCACCCATGGCACACGTGTGTGGTCTTTGGGAATGTTTGTATGCCGATTACCATCCTCACCATAAATTTTTTTGATAACTTGGACCCATAACAAATGTTATGGATTTTTTAAAACATGTCACTGCCATTTAAATAAAAATGCTCTATTAAACGCATAAATACTTCTCATTCCTAAACTACCATCCTCTTTTCTAGCCATAACCTTTTTCCATTTTATCCAACTACATAACTACATAAGTTTTCTTTCTCCTGACAAAGAAACAATTTCTTAAGAGTTAAGACTTCAAGATAATCCATGGGTTTTTTGGGTGCACAAAAAATGTTCATAAAATGCATAGCAATACTTGTCAAGATGGATTTTATCCAAGTGAGCCAACCACCTACCAAACAACTTAGTTCCAATTGAGGATTAAGTCAAACAAATTCCCAGCGAAGTTTAACTTTGATAAGTGGGTATGGCATATCGTATTTACCAAAGTGTAGTCTTATTGTCTCTGGTGGATAAATGATATCTTCTTACTATATTTATTTTATCTGACGTAGGGTATTATCTTATTTTAATGTTATCACTAAAAGGCCTCTAGCACAACGATGTCAGGAGTTGTCGGAAACGTGCCCTCAACAAAAAATTGAGGGTAATCCCGCTTAAGACTAATATGTGTAGATTTAGGAATACAATAATGAGTGTATAAGTTAGACTTCTAAAAACAATATTATTATATTCTCTTTGTCTGACAGATGATATTATCTTATTGTAATTTTATTTATTTATCCTAAATGTGTAAATGATTGTTGGTTTTTTGTCATTTTGTTAGTTTGTATAACAGTTATCATTTTTTTGTTCAAAATAAAATAAATTAAAGCAATAGTTTTTTCATATAAAGATCAAAGTTTCTAGATTTTACTGGAGATTTCCCTTTATCTTTTAAGGAAAACTCGAACTAAAGAAAAAACTTCGTTTGGGAGAACAAGCTCAAACTTTTTATTTAAAAAAAAACTCTTAATTCAATATCTTATTCAAGTAGCTTTTAGTTTTTAACTTGTGTGTTATATGTCATTTTCTATCTTTCAAAAGCTTACAATTACTTTGGCGATACACAAATAAAAGTTACAACTTCTAACTACCACCCACTTTTGCCAAACAACACCTATAACCTTACACTAAGATGGTTTTTTTTTTTTTCTTCTGGAAAAACTCATATTGAGCACTTATGTTTACAGGCAAGGATATATTTACGTCTGCATGTTTCACCGGTCATAAAGACACAAAGTAGACAAATTGAACAAGTTAAGGAACATTGGATATTGAGGGAAAAAAGATTTCAATGACTAAATAAACACTTATGCAGTAGTTTAAGAACTGATTTCAATTTTTTACATTTCTTTTCTAAAACAAATAATTTCAACTGTAATACAAATGTACTCATAAATCAAAGTAATTTTCACCATATCTCTTCTCCGACCACAATCAAGAATGAATGAATTAATTCAAATTCCCAACTACACTAAATCGTGAACGAATAAGAACGCATACAAAATCAAACTATTATGAAGTTACAGGTACGAAAACAAAAATCCCCATTTAAAAGTCTATAGGCAACTGAATAAATTATCAAAAATCAACAACCATACACATGATAATGAATTAATGATTGCAGTGGAACATTTGTCTTATAAAAAAACTACATTAATAGGAAGAAGCCAAACAGAAATTGCATAAGTTTGTTTGTGTCATTCTAAGGAACGATGAGATTGTGGATGATAATACAAACAAACAAAAGAAAAATATTTTGAAATCTGAAAAAAATGAAAACAAGTTTCACTTGGTCTTCTTCAATCTGTGATTTTGATATGGATACTCAGATGGAGTCTTCCATAGACCCCACAAGATTAGTACATGTAAACAAAGAAGCGCCATGGAGGAGTAGACATTGGAGGGGAAAACATTCCAGCACACCTCCACCCCTGCAAACAACAGCACCCTGCATGCAAAACAACCACCCACAACATAAAAAAAAAAAAAAAAAAAGCAACTCCAACTCCAAATGAATGAGAGTACATACAATACAGCTGGCGACTTTTGATTGGCTGACTTACCGCACTATATTTGGAAAGGATGTTCTCCACAAAAGATATGGTAAGCTGCAGACATACCTGCATTGCAAAACATTCTTCATCAAAGATGATAATAGAATTCATAAAGATCATTCATTTTGATGTTGTTGATATGGAACAAAAAAAAACGTGTATGCTATCAATTTTGCATACCAGGAGTAGAATTGATAGTGCAAAGAGCGAGCACAAACGATGCCAATAAAATTGCCAGTAAACATGGTTGTAACAATATCTGTGTAACAATATTAGTCAACCGTTAGTCAACCTTCACATACAAATTAAGTTGAAAGAAAGTGCACTTACGCTCTCTTTTAAGAAGCTGTAATCCAGAGATAGAATTGTGAGTTTTATTAGGAGGAAAGGTTTCGAGCTGGTTTTGAAGGAATCTAGAACGCAAGAAAGAGACTAATCCTCCTTCATGCCTGTAAAAGTGAACACACCAAAAAAGTTAAAAATTGGAATAAGATTGCATTGCATTTGCATACTTACTTGCACCACCTATAATGTGCAAAAAGGGTAAGAAGACCGAGATGAGCAAATAGTAAGATGACAGCAAACTTCTTCGACACAAATATTGGTTCCGGGACAAATTTGAAGTTAACAGACCTGATCATATATATTATAAAACATATCAACTACCAAAATTTCTCATTTTTATATATTTATATAAACGAGTATCATAAAGTAAAGAAGAAGATGGGCTTACCAGAAGTGGATGAAGACGCGTCCAAGATTGAAGGCGTTAGATAGATATGCAATTGGATAAGACCACAGAAATGGTAACCCCAATACAATCTGCCAATACAAAAAGTAAAACACAGATTGGTAAGTTATTATTTCAAACAGACTTTATTATTAATACAGTTTAAGAAAGAATAAGCAAGCACCTGCACTAATGCTGCACCTGTTAAAGCCGATATCACTCCCATAATGCCCATGCCCTGTATTAAAGTTTATACACAGAAGCCTGCTTGAGTAAATGTATGCAAGATCCAGAAACAAACTTGAGTTGCTTAGTGTATGTACCTTGAGCATGAGAAGGAACAATGATGGAGCAAAAAGAAGCACGTTCATCTTCACTGAAACAGCTGCACTGCATAATCAAAATCAATGCCTCTGTTAATTCTAAAAACAACATTATTTACTTTCTGCATGGCTAAAAAGTAACAAAACCTGAAGACAATCAAACCCAGATGCCATTTCTGATAAAGGAGTGGAACCATAGAAAGATGGAGAAGAGTCATTGCAAAACAGTCGTTGAACAGACGAAGCACGAAGATTGAATGCAATCTTTTGGATAAAGAAAGCAAAGTCAGAGCCCACCAAGGTACCTATCAAGAAGATAAAATCATTTAAACAACAGTAAAGAATCAACAACATACAGAAATTGTTCATACCACATCAGTCTTCACATAAATGAATAACATTATTCCAAGATTCACAATGTAGAGAAAGCCAAACAGGATCTGAAATAACAAGAAAGATTATCAGCCAGCAACGAATTTCTGTAATTGTCAAAAGCAAGTAAAAATTCACCTGGGCAGGATAGACCTGGCCTCCTGTAACATATTGTATGGCAGAGTAAACATAAAGAAAGCCAGCTGGATAAACCAAAGGTCCTGTGTCCCCTTTCAGATTGCTGTAATCTCTTTCTCCTTCAATAAATCCATCTACCTGTATGCCATTTCTGAGTAAAACTGAAATCACATACTTATACTCCCTCCATTCACCATTAAAGAATGTTTGCAGCTTGAATTTTCATGTCAAACTAGTTAATTCCAAAATGCAAAATTTATATATATGGACTTTGTTCGACTTTACCACCAACATTAATCTTTTTGTCCCACTTGGCATAAAGGGGGTGTTTGGATGTGCGTCAAAACTAAATATAGATAATTGAAATTGGCAAAATTTTATTATGATTGAGATTTTCGGTGAAAATAATCAGATTTTCAGAGTTAAGACTGATTGAAATAAATGTAAAATTAACCAATTAAACCCCCAAGACCCGATGATCTTACTCTAATCCTAGTATCACTTTCAAAACTCACATCCAAACCTCAAAGTGTAAATGCAGTTAGTTCTTTTCTAGTAGAACAAATATATATATATATATATATATATATATATATATATATATATATATATATATATATATATATATATATATATATATATATATATATGAACTTGAAGTAAGAATGTTATCTAAATAAAAAATGCAGCTCTATTTCTAAGTTTTAACACAATGGGGGTACTAAAACCCCCAAAAGACAAGAAACGATAAATTGAGTCTAACCTGCGACATGTAAGCATCCCAATCAATCTTTGTATCTAAAATTGATTGCAATCGAAGTGTTACGGATACAGATTCGTATGTAATTGGAAAAATCGAACAAGTTTGTGATAAAGTACTTACAAGGA